GTTGGTAGGATTGCTAGATATTTCGCCAACCCCCCGAACATCGAAGTCAGAGGTGAGCGGCACAAGCTTCAAAGGTGTTGTTTTGCAGTTTTGTGTTAAAGTAGTTGAGTTGTTTGACAAGTTTTAGTGATTGGAATCGGAGCATTTGGAAAATAGTTGGGTGTTGTCAAACATGTGGACCCTTGTTGGGACCTGGTGCCGCCTTGTGCCGCTTTTTAAGGAGGATACCAAAAAGGGCCCCTACTTTCACAAAGCTTGATTTGGGTGTTTGTATTGAAAAAAGAAGAAGAACAACGTCATATGCATTGGGGTCTTTGTAGAAACCGTCACATGCATTGGGTGTTTACAGGCCCCTACCTTTGACAAAGCCTCACATGCATCCTACATGGCCGTGGGTCAACACCCTTTGGTTTTCCCCCGTGCCGACGGGCCCGAGGCGCCTTCCGCACCCGCGGCAGGGTTGCCCAGTGCGTGCCGTGAGAACTTTTGGGGCACATGACAGCCATGAACTTTAAGGATCAAAAGCCCCTCCAAAGTGGTTTATACATATATATATATATGATATATGAATATGTAATTATGTGTGTATATATAAAGATATACACGTGTATGTATGTATGTAATGTAATGTAATGTAATGTAGTGTAGTGTAATGTAATGTAGTGTAATGTAAGTATGTATGTATGTATGTATGTATGTATGTAATGTATGTATGTATGTATGTATGTATGTATGTATGTATGTATGTATGTATGTATGTATGTATGTATGTAATGTATGTATGTATGTATGTAATGTATGTATGTATGTATGTATGTATGTATGTATGTATGTATGTATGTAATGTAATGTATGTATGTATGTATGTATGTATGTATGTATGTATGTATGTATGTATGTATGTATGTATGTATGTATGTATGTATGTATGTATGTATGTATGTAATGTATGTATGTATGTATGTATGTATGTATGTATGTTTGTATGTTTGTATGTATGTATGTATGTAATGTATGTAATGTATGTAATATTATGTATGTATGTATGTATGTATGTATGTATGTATGTATGTATGTATGTATGTATGTATGTATGTATGTATGTATGTATGTATGTATGTATGTATGTATGTATGTATGTATGTATGTGTGTGTGTGTGTGTGTATGTGTGTAATGTATGTAGTGTATGTATGTATGTAATGTAATGTCATGTCATGTCATGTCAGGTAATGTAATGTAGTGTAATGTAATGTAATGTACTGTAATGTAATGTAATGCGTGTTTGTTTTTACATTTTTTCTTGTTTTGTTTGTTGGTTTGCTTGATTTGGTTGTTTGTTTGTGTTGGTTTGTTTGTCGCCTGCAAGATGCTATGTTTTCTTCTTTGTATCATAGAGGTTGCACAGCCAGTTTATTGATTCCTTTTGCCAGCATGCGAAGACATTGTTCTCTCAGGTGCGCGAGCATCGTCGCTTGGTCATTGGCATGGCTTAACCTCAAAGAGCGGGCTCTACTCCAAACTTTAGCGGAGGCCGGGCCTCGCATTTTCCATGGCGTGTGACCCCAAGATGCGATCAACCTTGGACAAGCAATGTTTAACTGAACAAGGTTGGGAATTTAGGCACCGTGGTTCGGCCACAGAAGCGGCGAGTTGTTTGTTGGACGTGACTCTACAAAAGTCTGGCTCATGCGCTGATTCGTTCCTCAGATTCACTCGCATGTAGGTATTTTTACTGCAGCTCACTAGCCCATGAGTCACAGTGAGCAACATGCTTCATGTTTGTGTATCTGGGTGTGAGGGCTCATTGTGCCGGTAAGGTCTGCTTTGGGGGCTGATCCAAAGGTCCTGTACATGGGATGATCGTTGGGAGAAACCACTAAAAAGATGAGATTCCCACTAAAACGGGGCAAGTTTCCCAGTGGTCATTTGGGGGCCGAAGGGAAGCTTGATCAGCCCCGTTTTGGCAGTATGATGATTCTGATTCACTGAATGCGGCGACGTGTCGACCCTGGCCCCGGCCAGTTGGCTACGCCGCATTTAGATGGGTGCCTGCCTGAGGTCTCGATGCTGGCAGGTGTACTGGGATGTCCGCAAAAAAAAACCACACCGCGCTGAACGCGTCTTTGTCCATTTCAGTTTTTCCGAACCCCGCGCGTTTGGGGTGTGTTTTTGGGTGGTGCCCTCAAAGATGTGAGATCCACCAAGCCCGATGCGCTAGGTTCAAGCCGTACGAAGTCACAAATATGCTCTGGGCTTATGCGAAGCTCAACGAGTGGAATGCTCCGCTCTTCAGGCGCGGCGGAGTGGAGTGCTGTGGTGAAAGGTGGCCCAAGGCAAAGCAAACCTGGACATCTGAAGATGGCACGGGTCTGTCTTGTTTTGGGCCCACCAAACTGATGTTTTCCGTTGGTTTCCCCTCAAAACAGGGCACAACGGGGTACCCTCCAAAAAAGACCCACATGTCCGCCGCCGTTGTGTGAATCTTGCAGTCCTATCGCCCAGGGCGGTGGCTGAGCGGCTCCGAGCCAGGGCCAAGTGGGAGTTCAAGGCGCGATGTCCAGACGTCTTCGGCGCGTAGCGTTTTCTTTTTGGCAGCCTTGGCAGCTCTGGAACAGTTTCTGGTTCGCTCGGAATTTCGGAATCTCTATTTTGGCATTTTGGGGACCCCCCAAATTTGCCAAATGGGTGGTTTTTCCCTTTGGTTTCCCGTGAACAACCAGCCCCAAAAAAGGGGTACCCGCAAAAAAGACGTACCCTTCTTTTGAGGGAACCATTTTAAGGGTCTTTTAAGAGAACCCATTTTCCGAGGTCGCCCTATTTTGATACATACCCATTTTTCTGTATCTTGCAGATATTTATCTACATGCAGGTCGTAGGTTTGGGTATTCAAAGCGTGTGTACGCTTTGTTGTCAAAAATACCTGCGCCGCCAAACACATGCGACGAATTCGGCCGTAGGTTCGCGCGCGTGGCATGCGAAGCTTGAGCCGACGTGGGCCAGGTTCAATGCCTTTCAGTGGCATCCTGGCCGGCCACCCAGCCTTCAGCCGACACCGCTGCATGTAAACCATCCATCTTTTTGCTTGTTTCATCTTCCGTAAATTATTATACACATAGGTACGTATATATATATATATATATATATGGTGCCCCCCCCCCAATTGTCGACCTTTGTTGTCTGTCTTCATCTGTGATGCCTACTTCCCTCTCTGCAAAAGGAAAAAGACTCTCCAGCTATCCCATTTGAACCCTTTCTCAGAGGAAAGGTCTGGGCCCAAAGCCGTTTAAACCGTTTAAACCGGTTGAACCGTTTGAACCGTTTGAACCCTCTCTCAGGTGGAACCCTGGGGGGGGGGCGGGGAGGGGCTTTCATTTGAGAGAGGGTTTAAACGGTTTAAACGGTTTAAACGGTTTTGGTCAGAACCCTGGAGGGGGGGGGTTTCCTTTGAGAAAGGGTTTAAACGGTTTTGGGGCCCTGGCCCTTGGGGGGTAGGGGGGATGGGGGGGCTTTCCTCTGAGAAAGGGCTGAAACGCTTAAACGGCCTAAACGGTTTTAGGCCTTGGGGTCTTTCCTCTGAAAAAGGCTTTAATTAGTTTAGGGCCCCCTTGGGGAGGGACCTTTCCTCTCAGAAAGGATTTCAATGGTTTAAACGCTCTTCTTTGCTGTTGTTTTAGGCATCTTCTGACCAAACCTCGGCTTAGAAATAGGACAGAGGTCCCACTAAAATTCCATTCGGGCCTGGATTCAAGATTCGCTGGAAAAGTGTTTCACCTGAAGCTTGCAGATTGTGTTTGGACATGTGCTCTGCTTCTTGCTGCTTTCCCGAAGCCCCAAAAAAGGCAGTTAACACGCTGCAAATACCTACTGAAAATATCCCTTTCAAGGAGTATTTTTTAAATTGGCATGTTGATGTCAAATTAGACTTTAAAGGCGGTGTCCTTGTCTTCTTTTCTAGTAAGGAAACAATCCTAGTAGGATGTTCCAGTTTAAAGAGAGTCTAAAAAGGCTTTCCTGTTCAAAGAAGACTTGTAATAAACCCAATTACAGCCCTTCTTTTAAACCAAGCCTATCTAAATTATCGTTAAACCCAGAAACTCTACTAGAAATATGTCATTGGGATATTATGTTAAATTATGATCAATCAAATAAATTGAAAACGTTTTAACATATAATTTTGATTTTTGTCAAATTAGATTCTAAAGGGGGTCTCTTTTTCCAGGATATGTTTTTTCAATTCTAAAGTGGAGTTTAGTGAGACTAATCCTCGTACGATTTCTAGTACAAAGAGAATCTAAATAGGTGCCCGGTTCAAAGTCGAAATTGAAATTGGAATTTAAACCGTGTTGTAGTTGTAGTTTGGATCAGAAATTGCATATAATTTAATAAGGACATCTTTCTGGTAGAGTGTCTAGTGTTAACGAGAATTTCAGTAGGCGTTTTATAAACCAATATTCTTAATTGGAATTATTGTTTCAAGTTCGACTTTGAAGCGGGTCTCTTTTTCTAGGAGAAAGATCTCCAATGAATCTAGATAGACATTAGCAGTGAAACATCCTAATACAACTTCTATTGTTGAAGATGATGTATATAGGATTTCCTGTTGGAACAGTATGTTTACTTGTGATGCTGACTTCAAATTAGATTCTAAAGAGGACTTCCTTCCCAGGATGTTTTGTTTCCCGGGTAGAATCTGAATAGACTTTAGTAAGGCACCTATTTTTGCGGCTTCCCCAAAGCACCAACAAAGGCATAAAACACCGCAAATACCATTGAAATCATCAAACAAGTCGACATTTGGGTGGGGGGGGGGGGGGTAGCATATATATATACACATATATATATATATATATATATATACATATATATATATATATATATACACATATGGGTGTGTCTTAAACAAGGAGGACCCCTCCCCCAAAATGAAAATGCTGGTTTTCCTTGTGGTCCCCTTCGGTTCCCGATCCCGCACGAGTGATCATCCAACAGCTCTGACTGGATGTCTGAGTTTGCCCAGGTCATTCACTACGGTGAAATGGCGCGACGAGGATTTGTTCAGGAGCCTGGCAGAGGACGGGTGACTTCAGCTAAGCCATTATTTTTTGCTGGTGCTCAGGGAATGAGGGAATGAATCGGGAACCGAAGGGATCGGTTTTATGAGGGTCATTCCTTCATTCCCTGCTGAGAACCAGCAAGTTATGTCCTTCTCCAATTCCCACATTCATGGAGATGGATCGGCAATTCTTTCCTCCCACAACACCGGCAATCGGCCAATCGTTCCATTTCGGATCAACTCGGGTGTGTCTTTTTGTAGCCCCCCCAAACTGGATCTCTTCGCTTTCCTGTTGGCTTCCCTTAAAGAACGACACCGGGGCCCGGTCTCCTCCAACAAGGCGCGCCCATGTGGCGGGAAGTGAGCGCAGAGGATGTCCGGTTCGCCAGGAGATGTCCGGCCAGGCGACTCTGCTCAAGCCGCAGGAGGGCGGGAAGGGACACCGCCGACACCCAAAACCCAAGACATGGGCCGTTTTTTCGGTTTGGGAGGGATGTTTTTTTTGAACCGCGCGTTGGTTTTTGGGGCCATGGAATTGGCTGAATCGGGGCAGGGCTTGTTTTTTGGGGACTCATGGGAGTGTTTGAGTCAGGGGGCACCATTGACTCTGTCAAGGTGTGAAAAAGATGCATGGATCAGATGCACGGGTACTCGTACAAAGTGGGATTTCTATTGGGATCTAAGATTTCTCCACTCGAGTTCGAAGTTTGAGCATCACCAGCCACAAGGCGAGATTTCTTCTCACACCCAACAACGGCTGCTTGCCAATCTTGAGTGAGCTTTGGAAAATGCTTGGAACCCAGCAGGACTAATTCATAGCACCCCTCTTACTGTCTGTGGACCCCACTCTGAGGTTTGGCGAGCGGAACCGGGTTGCCGGAAGATGCATTGCAGATTTCCCCGCATGGAACGCTAGCAGTGAACAGCAACCCTGAACCAGCCCCGTTTCTTCAATCCTCATGGCGGTCCGAGCCTTGGCCAAAAGCTGATTTTGGCCTCGTGCACAGGCATGCTTGATTGAACCCTCGTTGGTCATGGCAAAAGTAGTGCAGAGCAACTCTTTTGGCAGGTGTTCACATCGCCAGGAGATCAGCAATACACTGTGGGCCTATGGCAAGCAGAAAATTGCACACGAAGAGCTGTTCAAGGCGTGGGATGTGAGGCGGCACCAAGGCAGACACCTTGTCCAACTTGGATGGACATGAGGGTCAATATGCGTTCGATGTTGGCAACTTTGGGCATAAACACTTCCCTACATTTGGGGCCGAATGAAAGTTTTGCTGGATGCCTGAACTCGGAACTCGCAGGCCCTTGGCTGGTCAGCATTCGAGTTGGTGTGGCAGTGCCGATTCAAGCCTCAGGACGGCTCAAGAGGCAAGGGACCGAAAAACATGATGAATGAAAGTTTACAGAGGCGCTCCATTGAAGGCCCGAATGCATTTGTCAAGGCCTGTCCCTGAGCGCTTGTTGGTAAGCAACAGACACAGGTCTGCCACTCCAAAGTGATGAGCCCTCACTAAAACCAGGGGCACTTGCATTTGCTTTCTAGGTTTGTATTTTGCCTTGTTGGTTTTTAAAGGGAATCGAGTTCACTACTGGACATGCTTTCTCTTTTTCCAGGGGCAAAAACGCAAATGGAGGAATAAAACCAGGGACTCGCCCATGTGTCATGTACAGGAGACTGCTTGGCCCGCTCCAAAGCGACGCAGGGACACCCCCCCATGTTAATAGGGGTGACACTACTCAGGGCTCCTTAAAAGATACATTTTGCAGCCATTTGAAACATGGCTTTTTCCAGCACAATAAAGGGACACCACCATTTACAAGGCAATGTTCAGGTGTTTTTCATGTTCGGATCCCTGGGTTGACCTCTGCGAAGCCTTTCAGGAGCTGGCGACTTCGCTTGAAGCCTTTGCACGAGTCGGCTGGCGGCTGAGTGGCGAGCGGGAGAATGACTCCAGGTGTGCTAGGGGCATTGAAGGAAACAAAAGGGTTGGGTGGGTTGACAAAAGGGTGGCCCGTTTTGGGTGTGGGTTTTTTTATAGGAAACCAAAGGGTAAATAAAAACCATTTGGGAGGGTCAAAGAACAAGGACATGGCCAAGTGACCTGGACTGACGAAAGTGGACGTCAACCAGTGGGGAGAGCCGCAGTGTCCGATGCATATCACCGAGCAATTGAACAGCTGCAGCGAAATTTGCCTGCAGAAACTTATTGTAATCTTTATGGCAACCAGCCATTGCCAAACATCATCCACGGGGGGTCAGCATTTGACCGTTCTCCTTGCGGCGTTTTCCCTGCAGAGCTGCCTGGCTCAGGTATCTCACATCCAAATCTGTTCGCCAATGCCGTGAACGTGGTGATCCGGAGGCAGTCCCTGTCTCTCGAGCGCAGCCCCTCAAAGCTGGGAGACGACCTGCCTTGACGCATGCTCACAAAGGGAACTGCCCTTGGCAATCATTGTTTGTCTTATCTGAAACCACCGAGCAAGCCAACTAACAAATTGACAAACAAACCAACTAACCAACAAATTAAACTAACTAACTAACAAACAAACTAACAGTCCAACAAACAAGCAAGCGAGCAAACAAACACACGCACACGCACACACGCACACACACACACCCACACCCACACCCACACCCACACCCCCACACACACCCGCACGCACACGCACACGCACACGCACCTGCACACTCACCCGCACCCGCACCCGCACACGCACACGCACACGCACCCGCGCACGCACCCGGACACGCACACGCGGACGCCACGCACACGCGCACACGTACACGCGCATGCACACGGGCACTCGCTTGCGCACGCACACAAACACGCACACGCACACGCTCACACGCGCGCACGCACACACGCACGCACGCACGCACGCACACACGCACACACGCACACACGCACACACGCACA